ACGTGTGCTCCTTTGATCGGGAAATAACAGAAAAACCGTCGACAAATTCAGTGTGTAAATAATGGCCTAACAATTAGTATGAAAAACGTCTGCCAGGATTTGACTTAATGATAAATTGTATTTGCTGACAAGGTCATTGTGTCGGCCATAAACCATAGAATATTTCTTAGCAAGAATAGAAGTCTTTTCATCATATAACTTGAATCTTTGAAAAAATATGTTGCACTCCTGACCATACAAATATAGATCTGAAACACAGACAGACCCTGTTATTGATAAATCTATTTGGTAAAAATGTTCTTTGTGTCTTTATTTTCCAAAATAAAAATCAGAGAATCATATACTGGTAAAAGTTTTTTTCATGCTGGGGAACAAAACATCAAATGTTGCACTCCTGACATTATTGGATATGCACAGATACTTGACTCTTATTAATGCTGCTTGTGATTTATATAACATTTTAAGTTTAAAATTGTATAAAGGTTATTGTTTTACACTTTGAAAATTCTTTTTTGACTTGTCTTTCAGATTTTTAAAATCGATGTTTTTTTTTGGCAACACTACATTTTTTTCTGTTGCACTCCTGACATGGTATAACATTTTTTCAACATCAGCCATGACCACAACTTGGTCGAGCAAAAGTTGCTACGGTTTGCATTTAAAACTCAATACTTTGAATATGGTTGTTAGCTGTATGTACATATTACCAGACATGGACACTCTATAATTTTGTTATTGGAATTCCTTAAGACTTTTACTGTCATATGTTGAATTATATATTTACATGTGTACTTGTATATCTTTGTAATTGATATATAGAAGGCCCTGGGGAAGAAAAGTGCATGCACTAACCAGGTTACCTTCTTTAAATAAAGTTTTTTTTATTATTATCATTATTATTATTATTATCAGGAAAGTCTTTATTTCCAACATAAACCAATATTATTTATTTCACAGATCGAATTTTCAAAATGTCACAAAAAGGTATTGCACTCCTGACATTTTTAGCATCATTTTTGGGCATAACTTTTTTGTGAATTGAGATGTCAATGAGATATTTGGCAGGTATATAGACACTATCTAAAGACATATGCTGAGGCATAGAAATTAATTCCTCTTGCCTGTATTTAAAGTGCAGGTTGATAAATATGTTTTTGGTCATTATTTTTTTGGAATTCACCCTAATTCAAACTTTTGGTCCTTCAAAAAAGAACGTACAATGTATATACTTTTTTTCTATTCACTTTCAAATGATTTTAATTTTGTCGATAATTTGAGTGATGATTCCTTTATGGCACGAGCTACGTGGTCACTTTTAGCTTTCATACGCCGTGAAACTGGGTTTTTACACTCAAATCTCGATGCACAATTCATTACATTCTGTAAATTGACAAAATAATGGTCAATGTGTTAAAAGTTGAATTTTTTTTTTTTTAAAAGTTTGTGGCAAGCTTTCAATGTAACATTCGTTCCGAATTTACAGAGTGGGTGGTTTTTTTAACATTACGGTGAAGTTCAAAACTATAAGACTGCATTTCAAAGTACATATCTTTCTTTCGAAACAATAGATATCTGATATACCGAGCCGCGTGTTTATAGAGCTAGTACAGTTTAAACAAATTATAGGATATAATAGCAATGATTTATTTATTGGAAGTAGTTTTAATTAGAAACTAGCCTACTCCGTCAATTTAGAAATTCTACATACGTCAAGTCCAACAATGCATCCACAGAAAAACATATTCAAACGCACCAATTATTTCACTTTTCCAGAAATGGCGTGGGAAATTATGAATTACCAATAAAATGACGTGTATTGGACTTCAAGTAGAAACCTAACCCTTAGTAACAATGTAAATTGGTGAATTTGTGGGAAATATGATCTACACAGTTATGCAGTTTAACATTTGGATTTTAATATTTTTACATTATGTATAGAAATTTACACCCTGGCCTGATAAAATCACACCTATACTCCCATAATTTCCCCCATTTAGTAAAATGATTTTTAAAATGATTGATACATTATTTTCCTGGTCTGCTTCTTACAAACATGTATATTCTCTACAAGAAAACTTGATGATGCCATCAAAAGTCACCCGGAAAATATACTACGTAAAACTATTTCAGTTTTCTATATAGATATACATGTGTACAATTGCATTGGCGGATTTATAGGGGACATGGGGTCCGCCCCCCCCCCCTTTTTTTTGTGACCAGAAATAAACATAAGATTAATAAATCAATTGTTGGGGGGCTGGGATACTAGTTTTGCATTAATAATACCTTAAATAAAATTAGTCAGAAAACTTCCAAAAGCTCCTAAAACCTGAGAGCTTCGGCTTCGCCCCCCTGGGCCCTAAAACCAACCCCAACTACTTTTCTATGAGGGGTGATCAAAAACTTCGCGAACTAATTGAATTATTTCCATAAAAGAAATAAAGTTAAGTTTCAGTGTTCATTATTTTTTGAAGTAGTCCTCTCCGATTTTAGTGCACATCTGCTACCGTTCTGCCCATGCGCGAATCGCGTGATCAAGGCGGTCATCACGTGACATGCTCCGTAGTGTTCTGTTCACAGAATCTAAAAGATTTTTCCGAGTCTTATATTTCTTACCATGCAAATGATTTTTTATAACAAGAACATTCCATTTGTCAGAAATGGCCAAATCTCGGCAATAGGATGGGTGGATAAGGATATCCTTTCCCAGAATGAGCATGGTGACTATCACAACTCGACTCCTCTTGCCTTCACTTGGCAACAGAAGAAACATCATTTTTAACCATCTCCCTTCCTTTACAAAAACAATCAATCCAATTAATGATTGAACTTCTAGCAAGTCTTTTGTCTTCATAAACCTTGTACAAATTATCATATGCTACTGCAAAGGAATTTCCAATATATGCGTTAAACTTTACAGCCGTTTATTGCTCGAGTACGACTGAGTCAACCATTTTTTGTCATAACAAATCTACATACATCATTTTCAAATTGTGACGTCACAAACATGCAGCAAAACATAACATAACATCTGCTATTTATAGAACATGTGTATGACTATATGGTTGGTAAATTTCATTCTGATCTGATTTGTGGTTTTGTAAATATAGTCAGAGCTTTTTGATCATTCCTTGTATATGCTTTATAACCTCGTTATCTCGAATTCAAAAACACCGTGACAGAAACGGGAAAATCGACAAGAGTAGATTTTTTGCATGATACATGCACTTTTGTTCAATTCTTGAAAGTATTAGGTTTCAGAAAATTACGTACACGTTTCAGAATCTAAAAAATCTATTCTTATGGAGAAAAATATAAGTAAAAATAATTTTTGTCTGTCCCAACACGAAAATATTGCTTCACTTCTTCCTCTTTATTGTGTGCATGCGCAGAAAAGTTGACTGAAGAAGTTACCATAGGTATAGATGTCGGATGACCGAGAAGTTTATTCCATCTTCAAAACACTTCAGAACTGCTTGCTCCAATTCAATGTTGTTTACAAATTTCTCATTAAAAATTAAAGATGCGTGACCTTGACATTGTTGACATTAACGATAACAACCATGCGATAGATACAACCTTTGTTTTCTCCGGCACTTATTTTTTGCAATTTTTTTTTTACAGTGCACTTGAGTTGTTAAAACTTCGCTTTATTCATATTTCACATCTTTTGATTTATGATACATGCAATTATCTTAAAAGAAACACAAAATTTTGACTCATTATGTAACTTTATTATTAGCCCCGTCGAGTTCGGGATAGCGACATTTACTATAACTGCACATTACATGCTATGGATTAAACAGAAGTACATTATTTTGCTTGTCAGTATGCGGCTCATTTAAAAATGTTCACCGGTCGAGGTAGCCTAGTGGTAGGGCACTTCGTGATCGGGAGGCACCGAGTTCAATTCTCGTTCTCGTTCCTTCACCAACCACCCAGCACTAGAAGTGAAAGGTACGAGTCTTTCGGATGAGACCTATAAACCCAGGTCCCGTGTCACGGTAGGCCTTGAGGATATAAAGGATATAGAGAATAAAGGATATCAACACTTGTTAAACGTCAACATTTCGCAAATTCTATGGTCGACAATTACCTTGTTTTCAAATACAGTGTTGTGAAGTCGAATGTTGATTGACGTCTTTCAGACAAATTGTTAGGCTATTATTTTCACACTGAATTGTATACGGATTTTTGCCGTTTACCAACTCATGACAAAGAGCACACCACGGATGTAACCGGTAGACAGGTTCTGCCTACTCCTCCATGACACCTGATCCCACCTATGTTTTCAGAGGTCCGTGTTGACTAGCTCATAATGTGTTTTGTTTAAGTGGACTTTTGAGAATGATCACTGCTTGTTATCTTCACAAATCTTGTAAAAATCATGTATGCATTTAACGGTCTGAGGGAAAAAATGCTGTAATTTCGATTCCTTGCAAAAGTTTGGACGGAAAATGACAAAAAATGCCCCACTAGATTTAATGAAAAACCATCTACTTTAATATGCTCACAATCTGATAAAATCGAATTTCTGGATGAATTAGAAAAAATCATTACATTAATGATAATTGCATAGTTATTATTATTAATTTCATTTTCCTTTTTATAAATATTTAAACACAGGTTCACTGTTGTGTAAGGAAAGTGAGCTCGTAATAAAACGTAAGTTGGTTTTACTGCAACCATTGATTTATAATAAAAATTTTGTTATTATATCACATTAACATTTCTTGCATTTTATTAAAAACGTTTCTTATTTTTGACGCATTACAAATACGACTATTTTTTGATCGACTAAGATAAAGAGTCCTTAATACATTACCATACATTAACCTTTTATATACGGTATCACTTGACTATTCTGCGACCATTTGACCTTCCTGTGAACAGGTGTTTGATAACAATTATATAATACCATAAATGGACAATCTTCGAATCTCTCTCTCGTAGGAGGATTCTGATTGGTGAATTAAATTTAAGGCGTTTGACAGTCAGCTGGTCTTTTTCAAGATGAGGGGAGTAGTAGCTTTGATGAGCACAATATGCTTTGCTACCTACACATTCGGTGAGTTCCTATAAAATAACAATTTTGCGAAAATACTAGTGCTGGCACTATGACAAATTATGATGTAGAATATTTTTTATAGTATTTGTTACTTGTCTTTTTTTATAGCATTGTTTTTACTTAAGATAGTCGACTGAACGATATTTATAATATATAATTACGATGTAAATTCCCTTGAACACATTTATAGTCTAACATTAATAGTCTTGTCATCTTAAGCCTGGTCAGTGACTGATTTCTTATCACAATGGACTTACAGAGTGAAATATGAGCGTTTAATTGACATAATATTTATGTGTATTTTCTAATCAGGATATTCCCTTCGGAGGTCTTCATTTGATCCAAATGCATTATTTCAACAACAAGCTCAGATTGCAGCTTCGTCCATTAAAGGAACAGGAAATGTTGGGTCCCCTAGCGGTGGATCTTCAGGCTCTCAATCTGGGGCTTCGTCAGGTGCTTCATCATCATTTGATCCAAACTCTCTGAATAATCAAATGATGCAGAGTGCCAATAATGGTCCGCCGAATACTGGCAGTTCTTCTGGAGCCACTTCGTCGTTTGATCCAAATTCACTCAATAATCAGATGATGCAAAGTGGTGGTTCATCATCTGGGGGATTCGATCCAAATGCTTTAAATAACCAAATGATGCAGCAAAATTCTCAAAGCAGCACTGGAGGTAGCGGTGGAACATCATCATTTAATCCCAGTGCCGTTAATAAACCAATATCACAATCTCAAAGTGCCGGTAGTTCAAGTGGTGGATCCAGTAGTTCTAGTCAAATGAGTGGAGGTTCGTCTGGGTCTTCATCGTTCAATCCAAACACACTGAATCAACAAATGTCTCAGTCACAAAGTGGTGGAGGTTCAAGTAACTCGCCTCAAGCAAGTGGGGGCTCTGGTGGTTCCTCCGCTGGTACTTCCTCATTTAACCCTAACGCAATGAATCAACAGATGTCACAATCCCAAAGCGCAGGGAGTTCAAGTGGAGGATCCAGTCAAATGGGTGGCGGATCTAGTCAAATGAGTGGAGGATCATCTAGCATGTCAGGTGGTTTTGATCCTACTTCCATGAACAATCAGATGCTGCAGAACAATATAAAACAGATGGCTTCTGGCCAACAGGTAAACGCCAACATGATGAACAGTGGTTCCTCGGGAGGAAGTGGGGGCAGTTCAAGCATGTCCAGTATGGGTGGTAGTGGTGGATCTAGTGGCAGTGGAAGTGGAAGTTTCGACCCAAATTCCCTAAATAAACCAGAAAATAATAAAATCGACCCAAGCATGTTTATGTCCAATATGGGCGGATCAGCTGGTAGTAGCTCAGGCGGTAGCTCAAGCAGTGGATCCAGCCAAATGATGAGTGGTGGAAGCTCTAGCGGAGGTGCAAGTGGTGGATCCAGCCAAATGATGTCACCATCAAACATGATGGGTGGTGGAAGTTCAAGCGGCGGAAGTTCAAGCGGAGGATCAAGTCAAATGATGTCACCATCAAACATGATGGGTGGTGGTAGTTCAAGCAGCGGAAGTTCAAGTGGAGGATCAAGTCAAATGATGTCACCACCCAACATGATGGGTGGTGGAGGTTCAAGTGGCGGAAGTTCAAGCGGAGGATCAAGTCAAATGATGTCACCATCCAACATGATGGGTGGTGGAAGTTCCGGTAGCAGTTCTAGTGGTGGGTCAAGTTCCAGTAGTGGAGGAAGCATGCCTAACTTTAACCCGAATCAGCTGATACAGAATATGATGGGTGGAATGAATCTCATGAATCCCAGTCAGTTTATTGGCAGGAAAAGATTTGTCCATTAGATATACAGTTCAATAATAAAAAGGAAAATAAAGATCAGTTTTGTTTGAACTGATATTTGTTAACTATGTATAAATAAGACTATGATAAAATCAATAATTGATAAATTTTGTTTCGAGATTTTAAGCTTTGAAGTCTAAACTTTTAGCGTGTAAAATAACATCATTTTAATATTGGAAATCTTAGTGATAAGAATCAAAATCTTATCCCCTCAAAAGTAGACCTATATATTTGTAAATCATATGTTATGGGTTTACTTGTACTCTATTTTTGGGAAGGTAGAAAACAAAAGATTTATGATCAATGACCAATACTTAGTATTTAGGGTCAAGAGAATCGAGATCTAGGCTGGCTGAAATTGATTTTACGTTTAACGTCACCTACAAACTTCAAAACCTATGAGAGAAGAAGAAAAAAATAAAACAAAATTTTCAAGCAAATAAATTAAGTGTTAACTAATTTACATGAATTAAAATACTGTCAATATTTGTACATCATGTAAGCTTATTGTTTATAATGATCATTTTCAGTTTAAATGATAGACTTAGCTCATATATACCTCACAGCTAGAGGGCCCAAACGTTGTGTTTCCCTACGGATCGAATGCAGCTTTTAGTCGCTTAAAGTAAAAGACAACTGGATTTAGAAACTTGAAAAAAAAAATGCCGATTTGTTTTTGTTTTGTTTTTATTTTTTTGTTTTTTTTTAATTTTTTTTTTCAAAGTGCCCATTTCTCCGAAACCTATGGGTGTGGGTGACGTTAGACATAGAACTGACTGGACAGCCTTAATATGACTATCCTTTTCGTTACTTCTAATTTTTATAAACCAAATCTCCTCGAAAAAAAATGAATCAGCTATTTAAATTATTTGAAGATACGAAACGGAATCCAGGTACATGTACTGTTTCCATTCAAAAATGTAAACAGCATGCAAGCTTTAATTTGACCTATAGATAATAAGGTACATTTCAACCTATTTTCCAAAAACAGTCTACAACAAACAATCTTGTACTTATTTTTTCTCCACATCATTGATGTGTCAAAAGTTAGGGTGAATAAATTTAAAACATGAGGACCTCGGTGTTTACCGTACTTGTCATAAGACTTATCCGTAGTTTTAGAATCAAGTGCCATCTATTTTTGATAATAACTAACTGTTACAATTTTTAGGTCACCTGAGTAAACTCAGGTGACCTATTGCTATCCGTTTTTGTCCGTCGTCGTACGTCGTTCGTCGTTCGTAAACTTTTGAACATTTTTAGCTTCTTCTCAGGAACCGCTCAACCAATTTCAACCAAATTTGGTATATAGCATCTATGGGTGAAGGGGAACAAAAATTGTGACTTTCATGGTTCCTGCCCCCCTGGGGCCTGAGGGGTGGGGCTAAAACCACCAAAAATAATGCAATCTTTAAAAATCTTCTTTACTCCTGGACATCAAGCAGACAAACTGTTGGCATCATTGTAATAAGCATGGAGCCCTCTACCAAATTTGTGAAATTCATGGCCCCAGGGTCAGGGGTTCTGGCCCCAGGGTGGGGCTATAGGGATCATATAGTGAAAGTGCATTATTTCTTTGAAAATCTTCTTCTCTGCTCCTGGGTATTAAATAAAGTTACTAAGTACATAGTTATGATGAGCAAGAGTGCCTCTTCCAAAATTGTGAAATTCATGGCCCCAGGGTCAGGGGTCCTGGTGTTAGGGCGGGGCTCTATTGATTATATAGTGAAAATGCATTATTTCTTTGAAAATCTTCTTCTTTGCTCCTGGGTATTAAATAAAGTAACTAAGTACATAGTTATGATGAGCAAAAGTGCCTTTTCAAAAATTGTGAATTTCATGGCCCCAGGGTCAGGGGTTCTGGTGTTAGGGCGGGGCTCTATAGATTATATAGTGAAAATGCATTAATTCTTTGAAAATCTTCTTCTCTGCTTCTGGATATTAAATAAAGTAACTAAGTACATAGTTATGATGAGCAAGAGAACCTCTTCCAAAATTGTGAATTTCATGGCCCCAGGGTCAGGGGTTCTGGCCCCAGGGTGGGGCTATATAGATCATATAGTGAAAGTGCATTAATTCTTTGAAAATCTTCTCCTCTGCTCCTGGTCATTAAGGTGATAAACTAAGTACATAGTTATGATGAGGAGGTGGGCCTCTTCCAGAATTGTGAAAGCCATTGTCCCAGGGTCAGGGGTTCTGGTGTTAGGGCGGGGCTCTATTGATTATATAGTGAAAATGCATTGATTCTTTGAAAATCTTCTTCTCTGCTACTGGAGATTATTTAAACAAACTAAGTGCATGGTTATGATGCATAAGGATGCCTTTTCAAAAATTGTGAATTTCATGGCCCCAGGGTCAGGGGTTCTGGTGTTAGGGCGGGGCTCTATAGATTATATAGTGAAAATGCATTGATTCTTTGAAAATCTTCTTCTCTGCTACTGGAGATTATATAAACAAACTAAGTGCATGATTATGATAGACAAAGATGCCTCTTCCAAAATTTTTAAATATATGGCCTCAGTTTTTGGGGTTCTTGAGGAGGGGGGGGGGGGGGGCTCTATTGATTACATAGTGAAAAAGCATTAATTCTATTAATCATTAATTAATCCTGTCTGCTCCTTAGTGTTGAGCTGATAAATAAATTGCTTAGCTAAGATGAAAATGGGAGCTTCGAACAGAATTTTTAAATCTTGTGGTCCTAGGGTCAGGGGTTCTGGCATAACGAGGGGGGGGGGGGGGCTTTTCATAATATAGTGGAAAAGTGTTAATTCTTGAAGTCCATAGTTATGATGATGAGGGTAACTCTTCCAAATTTGTAAATTTCTTGACCCTTGGTCTTGGGTTCTGGTGTTAGGGTAAGGCTTTGTTGAATCTGTAGTGAAAATGCATTGTACCTATGAAATTCTTCTCTGCTTCTGGGCATATTGGAAGCAAACTGATTAAAAGTTTAAATGATATGAGTAAGCGTATTTCTACCAGATTTTTAAACATCTGGACCATTGGTATAAGCATTCTGGTCCTGGGCAGGGCTCTATTAATTTGTATTCTACTGAGAGAAGTTATTCCCCTTTTCCATTCACCTTTGATAATTAATCACTGTAAATAATATATTTGAAAGGTTAATAGAATAAGATAATTATGCAAGAATGTTTATCGTAAAATTAAAAAAGTACTTTCTTAGTTTTAATAAACAGGTATAACTGTAAGTAATAGATAAATAAAAATGAGACAAAAATAACTTATCTTATTAAAAGTTCTTCAAAGACCATAAGAGAGGTCAATGCTAGAGGTCTTAATATGGGTTTAAAAATAGTACAGAAGCACTAATAGTTTGTTAATAGTCTACATAGTGTTAAGTGGGGGACAGATTAGAACTTAATTTATGAGTTGATACTGAATACTAGACTAATTATTTTGTTGATCCTGATCTTCCTACTTCTCTTGCTTTAGGGCAACAAAGCTTCAACTATCAGTGTATTTAACTTCTAAATTGTTGTATTATACTCAGGTGACCGTTAAGGCCCTTGGGCCTCTTGTTTTTCTTACGGGTTACATTGAGCCTTGATAATGCTTTTCTCAAAAGTTAAAGTGAAAATGACCAATTTAAGTGCCCAGATATATGTTTGTCTATATTGTTGTTCAGAAAACTAGAACATGTACGACTTTTAGTCCAGACCGAACAAGCTGAAAGCCCATGCGAGTGTTTCTATCTTATCATAAAGCTATTGTACGGAAACCAGTTATTAAACTAATATATTTAGAACAAAAGCTTCACTCTTTGACTGCAATACTATAATCTTAGCTAGTCTAGCTAAGCTAGTGAAACGTATGTCTCAATTATGTTGAACCTTTTCAACAAAGCAATCCTTGCTGCAAATATAAACATTCACACCCATTATGTTCCTACGCTCTGGGACAGAAAGCAAACCCCAAGAAAAAGCCGGACAGATAATAAATTGGTCTGTATATAACACCCTCCCCCCCCCCCCCATTTCTACTGACGGATGCAATCTCCCTTGCAGAGTTGTCGTTCGTTCCTCTCTCAGTAACCTTCTGCATTGGGCTCGAGTCGAAATTTTTGACGTAAAGTAAAGAACATAATATTTCAAGGAATGGATTATTTAAATTTTAACCAATAGTTCTAAATCTATTTAGTAAATATCTACCTTATAGGACAAACTTCATTGAAGGCATTTATTGTAATGAATTAAAAGAAATGCACTATTTCTCATGCTTATCACAGTGATATACGACAGAGGTGAATGTATGAGCCGATGGTAGAGAGTGTGACGGATGCTCAAAAGCTATAATGAATGACTCCTATGTTTAATGTGATATAGGAGTGGCGGATTTAAGGGTGGGGTGGGGTGTCAACAAAGTTAGCGTAAATCATAGTTTCGTCGAGAAAATGTAAATATGTCTATTCGGTAGACCTCATTTTCACCCTACAAAATCTCTAGAATCCAGGAGTTTCCGGGGGCTTCGCCCCCTGGGCCTCAAACAGAGCTTCGCCCTGGACCCACTGGGGGCCTCAAGGCGGCCCCCAGACCCCCTGCCTACTTTTTGCGCCCCCCCCCCCGAACTTCAATTCCTGTATCCGCGCTTGTATATTGCACATTAAAACAAAAAGACATATATGTGTTTATTGGACAGTTCTTGTTACATGTAGACTTATTGCATATCCTCAAATTGATAACCAAAATGTCTAAGTAGATTTGCTTGAGAAACTACCAATATTAATTTCACATAACATGTAATTTATTGCTTGAAGATAGGACAACTCCATCTCCAGCGGCAGTTTTGAATCAATTTTCCTAAATCAATATAAAAAATTCGGAAAATAATTTAAAAAATTATATTTAAAAAAAAAAGAAGATATATATGCAATTTTTGATTATATGTGTGATGTAGATATTTTTCATGTCTTATTTTGAAATTCATCGTAAAATGTTATAGAAAATAATTCTTGAGAAAAAGTCGAAATGTCTCGGGGCCTATACAAAAGGAGGGGGGGGGGGGGGGGTTGTCCTGTCCTCAAGCATCTACTACTACAACATTACTTCGGTAATAGGATAAATTTGCCGCATTCTTGGGGGAACTGGTCTTAAGGCATCAATGCATTCAATGCCCTCTCCAGGCCCGTATAGGAAGCAATTTCAGTTGGGGGGCACAGCCATACATTTTCAGTTGAGGGGGCACTATCGACTACCAAAAACTCCTTGACAATAAAAAAAAAACAAAAAACAATAAACAAAAAAAGGTCAACAGACGTTTTTATTGAGGGGACACAAGCATACAGTAGCTATGTTTTCAATGGTAATCTCTATATATCGACAAAAGTGCTTCCCCCCCCCCTCCCCCCGGTTCCTACGGCCTTGCTTTCAACAAATGCAAAATAATAATAATGATAAGAATGATGATAATAATAACATAAACAAAAGTTTAAAAAAAATAAAAATAATAAAATGAAGTAAAATGAAGTCAAAGGAAAAAACTAAACAAAATAAAATGATATCCGGTTACTAGAAAGACAGTAAGCCGATAGTGGGCGCTAAATGATTTGAATTTATGCATTGCAGTTTACAATTTTGGCGCATCTACTATTTATAAAAAGACTCTAGAAAGGCAATTAGCCGATGGTGTGGGCTAAATGGAATACAATTCATTTATTTTAATGATTTACAGCTTTTAAAACATCTGCAAAAGACACGTTAATCACATTTGTTAGAATAAGTGTGCGTCACGTTTTAGAAGATTGCAATAAATATACATGACGGAAATGGTGAGTTATCGTAGACAAATGGAGATAGGATGAGAAAAGGATAAGATACTTGTCATATATCGGTATTTTCGAACACCAAAGTGATATATTAAAGTGTAGTTTAGTTGTTGGGGTTTCCTTGTAAGTTTTAATTCCATACTCTCGGAATGATTATTTCATTTATTGCAGTACTCATTTTGGGATCGGGTAAGGAAAAATACACATTTACTATTTTTGAAATACTTGTAACTGATATTTTACTCAAATTTTAGTAAATCAATCTTTAAGAAAAAGAAACTTTTGTTGCTTTCTTTTAGTACTTGCTGATAAAATTGAGGTCACTAATCAACGCCTAATATCAAGAAAACCTGAATTCCACAACGAAAAGAATGCAACTTCAACCAAAGATAACAACGCGTCAAATTTCAAGCATCCTCCATCACACTTGAACAAAGATCCTCCATCTACAAAGTACCATTTTTTTCGGCCTCATATGAAAGGAGAAAAACTAAGTCAGTGGAGCCAGGATCCAAATGTCTTTCGTCCACACATTAAAGGAGAGAAATTGAATCATTTGAGCCAGGAACCAAATGTCTTCCATGCCCCTCTAGCAACAATGCTGACTCAGTTATTAAGAACGGGAAAATTTGATGTTATCGCAAGTTTTGTTCGACTGGAATTAGTTCGAAAGGGGGGAAAGGGACGACCTCATCAGCGACCTTTGATGCCACCACCGGATCAATTGTTGTATAATTACTACCCAAATCCATTGCCTTTATCTTTTCAACCAAAACAATTAACGAAAGATCCGGTTCAAATGCCCCACGGTGCATTTGTCAAGCCATTACCTCAGATCACAGGTGCTCAATCTCTACCCCAAGTTCAAGTTGCCCAGCTGTTGCCTAAAGTGTCTGCATCAGATGCAACATACAGTTTCATTGTTCCCGAAATTTCAGAGCAAAGAAGTCCAATTGTACAAAAGTGGTGGTCACCAGTCTCAACAAAGTCTGTAGGTAAACCACAATTTATGACGAATTCTGTATCAGTAGTAAGCAGCAATATCAGTAGACGACCAGCACCGGTTCCATTCGAAACAATGTATCAACAATACCAAAAAATGCAAGGAGAGTCAAAGAATACCGAAAAATCTTATACGCAACTTTCCAAACTTTACGAAATCTTGAATGCTTTAAAAACTATCAAGTCAGACAGTGGTGCAAAAGTGTTGCAAAACTGAATCAGATTGTTCTCACTTTAAATACCGGATCCAACTTTTAAATAAAGCTCACTCATAAAGTTCTGCTTCTATGTTTGTTCAGTATAACAATTTTTAAAGTACAAAATATAAAGAAGATCATTCAATATTCCTTTTTAGTGATTTTAATTTATCAAAATTACATTTAAAATTATCATCTAAAACTTGTGGTCAAGTTTACTTTCTTCCAAAAGTGTTAGGGTCAAAGTTTCCAGCAGGCTGTGAGTTTGGATCAAAGTTTCCAGCAGCCATTGAATTTGGATTAAAGCTACCAGTTCCACCGGAACTTGGTTGGAAATTTCCGGTCCCACCAGCACTAGGTTGGAAACTTCCTGTTCCACCCGCACTTGGTTGGAAACTTCCGACTTGTCCCCCACTGCTTACTCCAGTCTGGGTGTTAGACATGCCTCCAGGGTTAAAACTTCCGGCACTCATGGAGTTGGGGTTAAATGCAGATCCCCCATAACTATGGGAATTTGGGTCATAATTTCCAGCGGCCATGTGATTTGGGTCAAATCCCGGAGCACCGGAAGGAGAGAAGAGTTGTCGCTTAACAGGGACTATAATTGATAAATATTAATTTTCTTACATTGGGGTGCGTTCAACAGCGTAGCTGCTATATACGTAGCCGCTACGTAAAAGTGCGATCTTTAACGCAAAGCTAGCCTAGCCGCTACGTAGGGAGAGCTAGCATAAATATTTAATGCTAAGTCCTAAATCCAAGATGGCCTCCTTAGTTACAACTTTGCAGCACACTAGATTTTAACTAAACAGGAAAATATTTTCTACATCTTAGCGAATTTAATATAAATATACATATATATTTTCGCTTGAAATAAACTTTTTGGTTCCAAAAATAAGTCTTTACTGATATATTTTTATCTGAAATCTTAGACGTAGCTGCTAAGCTAGCTGTCCGTTCAATAGAGATAGATATTTACCACTTAGCTGCTAGGTTAGCCGCTACGATCTTGAACGCAGCCCAGATAACAGCCTTTAATGCATATATATATATATATATGCATAGAACCGTTTAAGAAATGTATATATAACTTATCAATCATAGATCAATACTAAAGAATATTTTGCGGAAATATTAATTGTTAATTAAATCGTTTTCTATATCATTCTTTAGTAGGGTACAATACTTACTTGAAAAGCACAGTGGAATTAAAACGAGAAATACTACACCCTTCATGCTTTAATGACGGTTTCTACTCTAGGAATGGATGTCTGACAAAATAACGCAGGGTCGGCGTTATGTTATTTCATATTTTCCTACGTTCCATAAACTACCATAAAATTGATAAGATAAGAGGCTAAACATATAACAAGAAATACGGATATATATATAATTAGGAAGTTGAAATTTCTATACTTGACCAATTAAATGAATATTTGTGATTATTTTCGCAATGTTGAAATTTGAATTTTAGTTAAATGGCCCTTTCACGTTATGCACAGATATGTATAAATATTTCAGCTGTATCTTCAAATATTAAGATGAAGGCTGAATATTCAAAATGAGAGTAAGATGTTGATTCTTGTCATAAAATCAAAAAAGAAAAGAACGCTCCAAAAATTGAGACGTTCAGAAACCCTTATGTCAGTGTTGCAACATTCTCTCAAGAAGAATGTGCAATAGCAGTGCTAATTTTTCAACACTGAAATCCATACAATCCCAATCTTTTGTGAATGATAGGAAAATCCCCAAAAGTATGAATTTAACTGAGTCGGTTTACTTAAATGTATAGATTACAGTGATCTGCCTTTAGGACAACCAGAAAGAAAAGGTACTGGTCCTTTTTTTGACTCGAGGTTTCCAGTTCAGCCATATGTTTTCTCCTTTCTTGTAACAGATTTGGTGCCATTGAAAACCCCTGGACTTGCAGGTAAAAGTCCTGCCAGGGGCTAAATGAACTTGAGTTGTGTCTTCGAGGGCGAAGCCAATTCAAGGAGGGAGTAATGTAATGGTTTGGGCCGTTGATATCGGCCTGGATAGCTCAGTTGGTAGAGCACCTGACTAGTAATGCAGCCGGATTTGATTCCCGGTCCAGCTATACAATATCTCCTTTCCTGCTACAGTAGAAAGCAGAGCTCAAACTACCATAGCTATCTCCCTAAGTACAAAATTAATATCAGTATCATTAGGCTCATACTAAGGAAAAATCGTAGAAATATGCCTTATGCTATAATGTTTCTGTAACAACAATTTCTCGGCAGGTATAATCCTGGTAAAACATTTTTTCCACCTTTATTATTTAATTCAGTGTAATTTTCATTATAAAATCCATTGGAAACCTACAACGTTCAATAACACAACACGCAAAACCTTGTCACTGCGCGGTAGAATACGCGGTAGGAACTACATGCATTTTCAATACAATGTATATTGTTCAGCTGAATTTATTTAAAAACAATTACCCTATTAAATTATTGTAAAATTGTAACAATTGTACCTTTAAAATTAATTTGTTATTTTTTCCCTCGCCATATTCATTTGCGTTATTTAATTTTCCAATAGGACTGGGTATCGGCTGGGAATTTTGTATTGCGATATTTTTAACTGTTTTGCGATATGTATTGCAATATTTTCTATGACAGTTAAAATGTTCTTTTTTTTTTATTAACCTTCTTCTATAGGAAGAGTGTCTAAAACTATTATAAAAACATTGTGACAATGAAGTTCTTGTTGATTTCACTACAGTTTTGGAACGAAATGCAACCATACAACAGCAACATTACCGTTTGGAACTCTTTGGCATAGCTGCATAACTGAAAATGTTTCTAACCTATTAAATTTCATATTTTACTTAAGAAATCTAAAGCTCAAGCAGTTTGCCGGTATATCGGTACTGGAAAAACATATTTTTTGTTAACGAATCGCAATATACCGGAATATCAATATTATTGCGCAGCCCTACTTTCCAACATCACAACATTAAGCACACCATGCAGTTCTGAAAGGCGCTAAATTCATAATAAAGATTAACTAAAATTAACAATTAATATGAAAGAAAATTAGAGAATGTAATTCTTATTTTTGGATGTCGTCGGTCCTATAACAGCACCTGTTCGTGGCGACAAATTATCATACCGCGCTAACGCGCGGTTTTTGTCGGCTCGGCCAGGTGCTCTTATAGGACCGACGCATCCAAAAATAAGACTCCAATTCTTAAACGGTCTTTCTTTCTGAAAGATAAGAATAAAATTCAAATCTGTTTTTTAAACAGGTGTCTTTTTGGTATCTTTATTACAAATAAATACATTTTTTACTATATTTTTTTTTTTATATTAGGGACCAAAAGAGTCAAAGTCCATTCCATAATTCGTCATTTAGTGTTTAGAAGAATTAGTATAAACATATTACCGATAATATAGAATCTATATTCAAATACGAAATTAATGGTTTCCCATTTCCTGCATTTTATCTCCTATTTGGTTTATAAACCTCTGTTGAATAGTGCAGATAGTTACCTATATCAAATAGTGCAGATAGCTACCGATATCAAATAGTGCAAATAGTTACCTTTGTATAGTGAATAGTGCAGATACAAGGACAGAACCAAATCTGTGATAGTGTTATCTTTAACAAAGGGCATTCAGTCTATAATATACAGATATAGATAGAACTATTCCACGGAATATATCGTTTGCAATTTCTGATAGAACCTAACTTTCCATTTTTAAAAGATATTAAAAAACTATAATATTATAAACTTTCATATATGCAAAATTGATTTTACGTGTATAATTTACATAACTTCTTTCAAAAAAGCCTGCCTTGATAAATCACAATAGAATAAGAAGTTTTGGGGTTGTTTAAATATAGAATATTTCTTCAAAGATATTGTGATGGATCACATCACTTATAATTACAAGGAGTTGCCCAAGTGTATTTTGTGTGTGACTTGCTTTTCGTGAACTCGTTCGCGAAAATGGCGATTGTTTACAAGTAAATGATATAAGATTCCATATGATTTATTTCTTTCCGAATGCATTAGGATCAAAATTTCCAGATCCAGAACCAAAACCATTAAGTGCGTTGGGGTCAAATGTTGGAGTCTGAAATCCGTTGGGGTCAAATGTACCCATACCGGAAGCTGGCGTACTGAAACCGCCACCTGAAATGAAAGTCATAAAATGAGAAGTATTCTATCCTTACGGCATATATAGCATCAATATTGCTACAGACCAATTTTTTAACGTTAATTTATATTTGTGCATTTAGACATATGAATTTAATATTGATTTGAATATTTACCAAACCCATTTCCACCAAAACCATGATTGAGGGCATTGGGGTCAAATGCAGAATGTGTTGATGCCATGTTCATTCCGAACCCTCCGCTGCCAAAATTCTGGTTTATTGCATTGGGGTCAAAAGGTGCTAAAAAAAGCTGATGGATTACCTAATCATCCGAGTCAATATTCTTTTCCTGACCAGTAAATATGTATATATTGTATACGAAATCCCCCATTGTCAGCTTCAGATTTAGGTCCCGTCCTTGTCCCAGGAGCCATTTTTGAAGAAATCTGTATCTAAACTTAACGAAGATGTGTATGGCCTCCTTCCTCTTTAATTATTTTTCTTGGATAATTCTTAGATTCTTTCCTTTATATTCCAGTGTAAAACCTTTAGCCCTTATTGTGGCCCCATCCGTGCCCAATGGTGATGAATTTGAATATATATTAATTTTATATTCATTAAAAGAAGCTTTAATGTAAGTTCAAGTTTTCGCGCACAGTGTTTCTTGAGAAGAGGATTCTATATGGTTCAGCTTTATTTTCAATATTTCTTTATTAATTGCCTTCCCTTATAAAAGCATGGTCCTCAATTTGAATAAATTTGATTTTCCTTCACCGAAAGATGCATTGTGGAAAGTATGGTTGAAATTGGCTAGAGTTAGTTCTAGAAAAGACAATGAAAACATTAAATGTGAATATACATTTATGAATACCGACAGACGCAGGAAAATTGACAATAGAAAACCACGTTTGAGCCTCTGACTAACTCATTTCCGCGAAATCAATTACTCAAATGTAGGAAAAGTTCTATTGACTTTATTACTTTTTTGTCGAACCATAAAATATGAACAGTTTTGAATAGACGATACCGAAAAACAAATATAATATACAAATATAGTATACAAACAGTATACAAGCAATTTTTTTTATTGAAATTCAACTTCCGATAATTTTACCCCAAGAATTAAACCCTGTAAAAAATATTGTTGCTGAATTGTATATAATGATTATTTAAAAGAAGGAACAAAAAAATTGCAATTTTAAAACAGAGCGGAAAAAAACGTATTTCGTTCGACAAATTAAACAGACGTATACAGTAATCAAAATATAAATGAAATGAGTAACATGTCCTTTTTCTAAGAATGTACACGGTAAGAGTCAATTAAATGTGATTTTTTAAAAAAAATAATTTAGTCATCATTTCAAAGAAGTTGTTTATGAAATACCGAGTAATTACCCCCAAGACATGAAGAGAGCAGGGCTAGCAGAGCGAGGAACAGTCCAGCCATATCAACACAGTGTGAGGACTAGGAGTGCGGTTCTTATCACGCACGTCAAATGTTAAAGACCCATGATACTGGTATCAATAACGTGCTTCTCATTTTTTTTAAAGATAAAATGCTTCATTTCTGCTAGAAATAAACATTTTCATTTTTTGTGTCTATGATATACCTAGTTGTACGTAATCACTCTTAGTTTTCTTGAGCAGGACTATAAAATAAAATACAATTTTCTCAGTTTAAAGTTGAATGTTACAGTGCGATAGTTTGATAAAATGTCTGTATTATATTGAAGCCTATAGCTATTTGATATAACGAAGTTTCGAATTTACTTTTTAAAAATAAAAAATAAAATTAATCTTTTTTTTTAATTTGTTAGAACGAATTAAAGAATAACTGCTCTTAACTATGGGTTTTTGGGTCTTTTTACGTCGCCTTTGTTGCTTTTATATCTTAACCTTATTCATTTTTGTATATTTACTAAAGAATTCTGTCAATTTGGCACCGAATTTAAATGTTAAAATTAAAGAAAAAATATCGTGCTCTGGAAGGTTAAAAAAAGGTTTTGAGTCGGTCGGGAGAGGGCAACCAAACTTTTTTTTTTTAAAGATAGCCTTGTAGTAACAAGTATAAATGCTCCTTCTGGAGGTGGAAGATTGTCAAAGGACTTTTTTCTTGCCAAGCTGGATTTTAATTCACCAACCAACAAAACACATTGCATTAAATATGTTCGTTAAATAAAACGGTAAGCTTTGTGAAATTTTTCAAAATTTAAAAATCGCACCTCAGTTGAAAATCAAGAGAAATGACTTGGGGTTTGACCTCAGACTGAAATTCATGACGTTACAATCGCACACCTTCATCTGCATATAATCTGAGGGAAAAGCAATAAAGGGAAACTACAGAGGGAGATTGGAAAAATAAACCCCTTGTCCACGTAATGGAAATGCATTAAAAAGTCAGTTATTGACGGATGGCTTTTCTTTAGATACTATATACACACATCTTTCAGTTGGGATAAAGAGATATCACTTTGGTTGTGATAAATCTCTTGAAATGAATGATTCACTAAAACGCAAAATAGAGATACCCAAGACATAAAAAGATTAATTAATTGATAATATGTTCTTTCAAGTCCCATTCGAGAATTTTTCACTCATATAGAGAGGTCTTCATATACCGGTGAAGGCCTTCAATTGTGGACCTTTACTCGGTACTCAGGGTCATGGAGCAGTGAGGGACCTTTATCGCACCCCCGCCTGCCGTGACAGGGTGCCTCGGTATTTAATGTCTTATCCGAAAGACCCGCAACTTTCACTTCAAAGTGATACTCAAACAGTTCGAGACTTTTTTATTCTGATTTTTAAACAATTCCATGGTAAAGTGTTGTGCAAGAATACTTAAATCGCCAAAATTCACAAGATCTCTTCAATATTGCAAATGAATGGAGATCCGTCGGTATATTATTTTTTCAGGTGAATTAGTCGCACATACTGAAGAATATGATACCGTAAGCACGCCTAGATAATCCTGGGTAAAATTATCACCATTTTGTATCCTCAGTAGATAATAATGGCAGCCCCTCTGTTCCCCAGATGGCGTTCACCAACGGCCGTTAGTTTCCATTATAAACACATCTTGTTCTTTTTGTAGATATTCTTAAGACTATGGATTTTATCAAAATTTTCATTATATTTTCTATAGTCATGGGTAAGTAAAAGTCATATAGATTTTTTTAATACTTCAAAGAAAATATCTATCAAAAAATCAACGTTAATCTGACTCAAAATATTGACTATTATATATATATATATATATATATATATATATATATATATATATATATATATATATATATATATATATATATATATATATATATATATATATATATTCATATTCGTGAGAATATTGTCTGGCTAAAACTGTTTCATGCAAATGCTATAACTGTTATTTTAGCATTGGAAAAAAATATATACATGTAGTTGTAATAATATCATCATGTCATTGCAGAATACAGTTGCATTCCATTACCTGGATTAGAAAGATTATCATTTGGTCCTAATTTAAACAGACCACGAATACCAACCGATAAAGGTATTCAAGACTTTATCAATAAAGGCGCTGACTTTAACGCAGTTTTAAATACCAACACACAACAAAAAGACTCGACTGGAGAATCAGCTTCGAAAATGCCGATTGTATCACAATCAAGCTCACTACTGAATTTGTTGGAAAGTATAAATGGAGTTCAACTTTTGCAATTATTAAACAACATGCTAAAGCCACCAGACAGAGGGCAAACTGTTATAAGCAAAAATGAGATGAAATCTCATGAAATAATTAAAAACCCTTCTGATACAGGATCAGCTAACAATCAGGACAATCAACGAAATTCCCAAATGAACCCCAACCCTGCAAGAAGTCCCTCGAAGAATTTTCCAATGCAAGAGGAAACTAACAATTCAAATACCAAACTCCAAGGCCCCTCTGATCCTAGTCGACAGGAATTACAGACAAAGACCCTACAAACAACAGGCTCAAATGCAACAGCAAAAACCGGTTATGAGGGTTCAGATAAACATAAAGTGTTACTTACGTCTGGAACAAAGAAACCGCTACCATCGAAACGGCCCAGCACAAATGAAGTGAATCACCCTCAAGGTTTTAATGGAAAGATAAATTCTGGTGTAATGGGGTTTCAGGCCCTGCATACCAACAACAATGCAGGTATGTATAACTTAGGTCAGCAGTACACCAACCCTCTGTCGATGTTGGCTGCAGGGATGGGTTCGTCAAATGGTGGAAAAATTGACAGCGTGCAGTCTTCTCCAAACACAAATGCAAAGGCTCCACAAGCGGTAGAGACTCATGGATTTGATCCCAATCGACTTATGAGTTCGTGGGCGAGTACAAATAACTTCAACCCCGGAAAGTATAACGTTGGACAGAACTATATATCAACAGATGAGTGGACAAAATATGCAAATCAACCCACTGGCTACACTGGCTTAATGCAACATATAACTCAAAAAACAATGGGAAGCATCAGCAAAGAAGAAAGTCAAGAAAAACATACGGAAAACAAGTTTCCACAAGAGCACTTTCAAACACAGGGATCCGCCCAAAACGCATTTCAAAGTTCAGCATTGACTGCAAAAATGAATTTTGCTCCAAATAACATGATTTTGCCTGTGTCAAATCCTCAGACGCCGAAAATACATGTAAAATTTAGCTTTGATCCCGATAGATTAAATTCATTTACAGGGTCCTTTCGGCCTGGGCAGTTTGCACCCTTTCCTGCATCTAATGCAGGGGAAGCAGACTTTCCCGACTTTGATGCAAATGTAATAAATCATCATTTATCGGGATTTCCAAATGAAATGTCCTCAAAGCAAAATCAACAACATCAAACTTTAAAGAAAACAGAATATCAGAAATCTCTCTCGACTCCAAAATTTAGACTAAGAGCAAATGAATTTGAAAACGTACACAAAGGATTTAGTCCTGATTTTTCCTTAGGGTCAATAGTCCAGTCTCTGAAGAAAATGCCACACGTAGGTGATGCACGAAGAGCAAAATTAGAAAATCGAGGCGATCATAGAGCTGTTAAAAGCAGAATTTTAGCTCTGAAAAGAGATCAAAATGTTTCTGTCACAAGTACCTCTAGATCAAACTTGACAGTTCAGACGACAACACCCTCGGCTTCCACAACCACTGATAAAACTATAGAAGCTACAAGTTCACCTGATACATCAAAAACTACAACTCTTGTAGATATTGGGCGATTCAATCCGAATAAAGTGAACAGACCGATTATGTACAACCCGGGTATGTCACCAGGAATGAGTGTTGGATCATTTCAAAATTTTCAGTACACTCCTCAACAACATAAAGTTAATTCAACTTCCACAGGACAAACCTTTCAATTTACAGGCGTGGGCTTTAATCCATCTGAGGTCAACAATGCAAAGATGAATTTTGATGTTAATTCGCAACTCGGTATTCCAGGTGGATCTACCTCGCTTAATGGACAAACCTTTGGTAGTGGTTACGATCCCATTAAAACAAACATTCTGGCCATCCAAAATCCATTCGCTACCAACAACCAAAGTCAAGGACCATCTTTCACTGCTGGTAAAGTATCCGGATTCGGATCTGCTTTCATTGGTTCCTTTAATCCAAACAGTGTCAATCAAGGTATGATGAAGGATTTGTTAAGCTCCCAGGCAAAAAGTAACAATAGTGGGAATTATTTCGGGATTGGGATGACTGGCTTTGACACGTCTGGATATGGAGGGAATTTTGACCCATCCTCAGTGAACAATGCTGTTTTCAATCCAAATGAAGTAAACAAGATTAAAATGCACTTTGATCCAAGTGAGATGTTGGATAAAAACCCAGGCTACGACACCGATAAAGCGCTAGCTTACAAGTTTAATCCTAATAACATCAATAACATGCAAGCAAATTTTCAGCCATTATTTTTGCAAAATAACAACGGTCATGAATCTAAGAACAGCACTAATGATTCCAAACTTTATAATGGTGCTAATTTCGTGCCTGGTTTACTTGGAGGAGGGAGCAAAAATGAAATCCCAATCTTTAATCCAGCTACAGTGAACAATGCTCACATGAACTTTTCCCCAATCGGAGTGAATAACCTTCCAAACATGCCCAACAATAACAACAATAAGACGAGCAACACTACCGACTCATCAGATGAATCATATACTTTCTTTAATCCTAATGACATTATGAGTTCCAGCTTGAACAATCATCCCACCGGAATTATAAATTCTGGTGATACATCAAAGAAAGGGAGTCAGTCGGAGAATGCTTTTACCCCAGGTCTTCTAGCAACTGGAGGAGAAATTCTCGAAAGTGACAGAAAAGAAAGAAAAACCTACCGGAAAAGAACTTAGGCTGATATTTAACGACCAACAATTCGCTGTGTGTTCTTTTTCCTTAATAAAGCTACTGAAAAATTATATATTCTCGATAATTTAATGCTACTTTGAGTTTGTTTGTAACTGTGGACATTTATTACACTTGTTGTACAGGTAATTTTTATGTAAGCTTGATTTTAAACATGAAAATTGTTTTGTACTTTGAATCTTCAAGTGCTCTAAATATATACAACACATTAATGAGTAAAATTTAAGTTTTCGTGAAGAGCGGCCCCAGTTTTTAATTTTAATAATGTTTAAGAATTTCTTTACTGATAATATGCTTATATTCATGGGAACAAAAGTGTATCGAGGCTTATAATGAAGTTTATCATTGACACAGTCCTCATTCAAGGAAATGTAATACCACAATTGAGTTAACAGGGTACTGAGACGCGTATAGCGGGTTTCTTTAGCGGATGTAAAATTTGGCGTTTTGCCTGCTTAAAGGTATGCCAATAATTTTGGCGGAACTTTTTTTGGCGGGCACAGAGTTCCGTGACATTGCAAAAGAGAGGAAATTCTTTTTTTAGATAAGTTTCAGTACGTTTAATATACGTTTGAATACCGATTTACACAAAAGTTTGAGTAAATACAATACCAGATGAAAGTTATATTGCTTATACAAAAAAACTAAAAGTTATTTTTAAAAGTGATTTTTCTTGTCTTCTGTAGTGATAATGAAGAGTGCAAATTTGGCGATTAAAATTTTAGCGGCTTACTACAAAACCGCTAAAATAAGCCAAAGTTAGCACTCCGCTAAAAATACTTGCTATACGGTATATGAAAATAAAAACTTTCTTTTCTGTGTGACTAACCTTTGCAAGTGATACTGATAAAAAATATAGTATTTCGTCATAAACGAGTGAGTCGCATATTACGTTTACTTATTTGAAACCAAAGACAAGCTAGAAAATAGAAATACGTGAATAAGAGCATCTATGTTTGCTGTAATCTTTCTGTTCAAAACTAAAGAATTATATCGTTCACCTGTCCAACAACTTCCGAGGACTATTTCTTATCGTTACCTCGTGAGCTACTGATGATAAGATTTAGTGCCGCTTAATTAAATACAGGCCTTAAACGTTTGACACAAATATATCACATCGTTACGTGATAATTACGGAAAAGGAAGGCATCTGAACCAAAATAAATTAAGACACACACCAGTCTGTCTCCTGGAATTATGTGGCTGCCATTAATATTAACGGCAGCATTACTTACCACTTGTGCTGGCCGTGACCTCAGAGGTAGATAATATAATTATTCTCTATATTTAAGAAATTGAAATCAAATTGATACAATTTAATCATTCTAAAAAAAAATTTCATTCAATGTTTTATTAATGAATGTATATATTAATTCAATTGATTAAATACTACTTATTAAACAATTAAGGTTAATTTCGTTGTTTGCTTATTTTCTCCCCTTTAATACATGTTTTCAAACAATTGCTTTGTGCAGTCCGCCAAACACAATCAGGAAGCACAAGTAGTGGAAGTACTTCCGGTAGTGGATCTAGTTCCGGTTCTAGCCAGTCCGGTGGTGGATCTAGTTCTGCTTCTGGCCAGCAACTTTCACAAAACATGCAGCCGCCATCATTTTTACTCAATCCCTCACAATTCATGAGTGGCTCAAGTGCGTATGTATCAATATGTGACAAACATATATGAGCGTTGTAATCAAGACTACCAGATCTGTTTTCATATTATACATGTTGATTTTGTTTCGGAGAACTTATAGTCTTGTGTTTTTTAAGCAGTAACATAAACAGAGGGTGCAACACAATTATCGAATGTGTTATCACATAATGGTGTTTTCATTTCTTTGGTAGATCCTCTCCATCAAATCCAGGTACTGGTAGTGGAGGATCTAGTAGTTCGTCAAGTGGCGGATCCAGCAGTAGTAGTTCATCTCCTTCCTCTAGCAGTGGAAACTCACCTTCACCCTCATCTAGTGGTAGCTCATCTATCCCAAAGTTTGATCCTAATAAAGTAAACCAAATTCAAGCAAGCTTTTTAGATCCGTCCAAACTTCAGCTTGGACAATCTGGCGGTGGAGGTGGTGGATTTGATCCAGACCAAGTCAACAGCATGTCTTTTAGCTTCTTTAATCCCAGTGCACTTTTGAGTGGCGGTGGAAACCAAGGACCATCCGGAAGGCGTAAGACCATGACATATTAATTCTTTGTTTGACAGTAGGCCTGACAAAAAGGCTTTCGTTTCATGTATCAGTAATAATTAGAAAGTGATATTCAATAAAGCATATTAAATATTACAGAATACGACTTATTATTAATGTTTGATTATTAAATGTTATGTTATGAAGGGAGAAGACAAGCGTCTAGTTCTGGTGGTGGTAGCAGCAGTAGTAGTGGAGGGGGAAGCAGCAGCCCACCAAAGTATGATCCAAACAGTGTTAACAAACTCACATCGAACATGCTAGACCCATCCTCTTCTAAACTTGGAGCCAGTAATGGTGCCGCTGGTGGATTTGATCCTGATCAGTTCAACACAATGCAATTCAACTTTTTCAACCCCAACCAGATGTCAGGTGGTGGAGGTGGTGGCGGTGGCGGTGGCAGTGGTGGAAGCAGCGGAAGTGCACCAAAGTTTGATCCAAACAGTGTCAACAAAATCCAGGCCAATATGCTGGATCCATCTACCTCTAAGCTTGGAGCCAGTGGCGGGGCAGCTGGAGGATTTGATCCCGACCAGTTTAATACTATGTCCTTTAATTTCTTCAATCCTCAAGCACAAGTGGGCAAAAGAAGTAAGACCAATGTTTCAAGATCATATTCCTTATATAATAATAAAAAAATACTTTATAAAGCAATTTTAAATTTTGTCTATAGGTCTCTTCAAACGTCAGAGCTCTCCATCTGGCCCGAGCAGTAGTGGTGGAAGTAGTGGGAGCAGCAGTGGTGGAAGCAGTCCACCAAAGTATGATCCAAACAGTGTCAACAAACTCACAGCGAACATGCTAGACCCTTCTTCTTCTAAACTTGGAGCCAGTAACGGTGCCGCTGGTGGATTTGATCCTGATCAGTTCAACACTATGCAGTTCAACTTTTTCAACCCCAACCAGATGTCAGGCGGTGGAGGTGGTGGTGGTGGTGGTGGTGGCAGTGGTGGAAGCAGCGGAAGTGCGCCAAAGTTTGATCCAAACAGTGTCAACAAAATCCAGGCCAATATGCTGGACCCATCTAAATCTAAGCTTGGAGCCAGTGGTGGAGCAGCTGGCGGATTTGATCCAGACCAATTTAACACTATGTCCTTTAATTTCTTCAATCCCCAGGCACAGGTTGGAAAGAGAAGTAAGTAGTTTGTTCATATTGTCACATTGTTGAATTACTTCTTGTTAAATTGCTTTGTTGAATGATTTTCTCTATTGTTTATACTAGTGTTCTTGTAATTAAGATATTCGAAGACGTCAGACATCACCATCATCTCCAAGTACTAGTGGGTCAACATCTGGATCGTCAACTAGCGGCAGCTCAAGCAGTAGTTCATCTTCCGGTGGGGCATCTCAGATGATGAGTTCAAGCATGTTTATCAATCCCAGCAACTTTTTAATGGGAGGAAACTCTGGAAGCAGCAGTGGAGGTGGTGGTGGAAGTTCCTCTCCGTCATCTTCCTCTTCCTCGTCTTCCAGCGGAAGTTCACAACTACCTTCTTTTGATCCAAACAAAGTTAATCAAATTCAGTCTAGTTTTCTGGATCCTTCAAAAGCACAGCTCGGTTCGGGGGGCTCGGCATCCGGAGGATTTGACCCTGATGCGGTCAACACTTTGTCATTTAACTTTTTCAATCCTAAAAATCTTCTTGGACGGTAGGAATAGAAAGTTTCTCAATTGTCAAAATGGTCAGTTAATAATAAAATTTTTTACCAGGTTTAGATCTGTTTTTTTTTTTTAGGTAAATCCAAACATCAACACAATATATTTATATAAAATATATTGAAATAAACTTATGAAATCTTCTGCATTTTCTTTAATGATTATATAGTCTTGCTCCATTTAAAATTACTTATTTTACTTATCATCTGTATAAGAAAACGACGACGGCAACAAATCGATTTATTGATATGATTTTGAAGCTAGGAGCACCAAACATTCTGGTATGGTGGATATAACGTATAAGATAAGAATCAATCTAATATTTAAATTTGTAAATTTGTAGTATTGTAATAGCATTTATCTGTACATAATAGGGACATTGTTACTGTGACAGTAGGTATATTTTGGCTATTGTACCGCTTTACGAAGTTGTCTATCAGCTATAATCATAATATTTTCGTTATGACTAAAACTTAAAATACTATCAGCGAAAATTGACTTCTGACTAAGACGTCAAATAAAAGTATATTATATCCATACAACTTTAAACTGCATCAAGTATAATGCATTGCAATTTCATTTGGTAAGATATTAATTCACATAGATTTGTCCTTGACACTGATAAAGGCGTGATAATGGGAATAATGTACAATAGATAAGGCACATTACATGATTTAGGTTCTCACAATCACTCTACTATGACAAGTGTGTCATGTGTCAAGGTACATGAAAAGTCTCAGAAAGAGTTTATTTTCATAATGGAACCACTACACTGTTATCTGTGGAATGTACTATAACATGTCAAATTCTTTACCTGCTACTGACTGCTCACTTTCTGATAATGGAATAAAATCGGTGCATGCTCATTCCACACCAATATGACCTTTACAAACGATAGGAACGTGCATGACAATTTTTTTTCCATATTACATTAAATGTCATGACCTTAAATAAATAAATTTTAAGTGTCTCTGTTTCTAAAGAAATTAAAATTGGAGTATTGTTTTTTATTTAATTGAATTGAGATTTAATAAAATAAGAGCAGTTTTATTCTGTTATACAAAGGATACAACAGGTCAAGAGTTACCTTTATCGTCCCATGTGGCTTAACCGCTATTTTTGGCTGCTGAACGCTTTGCATGAAAAAAAACAACAAATAGTCTCGAATTCAATTATTTTCCATCAGCCTTAATAGTTTGGGGAAATTTCAGATTTTATAATTCTTTTCAGTAATGTTTTCGGTCCTTGAGGTCTAAAGACAAAGGTAAAGGTTCGGTTAATCGTATTTTTCATTCAAATGGAGAAATGGTAATAATTCTATGTACCGTAAGAGTAGAAGATTGATTTCCAAAGCAAAGAGACTGGATTTAAGTCTTTGTGTTAGTGGTGGTGGATGAAGAGGATGGAAGGTACAATTTTCATAAATCTTACAAGAATTTGGAAAAATCTGACATTTCTGAAAAATGAGTACACTACCTTCCCTCCATTAAACCCCTGTTTATCATGTAAACGTTATACATGTACAATTTTGAATATTAAAACAAGCCCTATCAAATCTTGATAGGAACAAACAAATTATCAAAATTAATATTTTTTTTTTAGAAAACGAGTTCGAAATTGGATATTCATAATAAAATGAAGGATCCATTTCATAACATGCCTTATCTACAACGTTACCATGATATTGTAGTTGTTGATCTTGGCCTCCAGCCTAAAATTACAGAATAAAAATGCTGCCAAAAGTCCTTTTATTAACTCTGATATATTCTGTAGCAGCCGAACCTATTCGGTATGTTTTGGAATTTCAGAAACTTCTTTCTGGTAAGTGTAAAGTGTATCTTGCAACTTTTTAACAATTTTGACAGCATAAGAGCAATAAAGCTGACTATTTTAAAAATGTTTCTTGAATGATTCTTTGTAGGTGTACATGAATTGAATACTCAGATCTACTTAAAATTTGATTTAAATCATTTTTTATATTATCAATAAAGCTGGATCGGTCCAAAGAAGACAAACATATAATCCTAACGCCATGATGTTCGGAGGAACTTCCTCTTCCAGTTCCACCTCCAGCAATTCCCAGTACATGGGTTCCTTCAATCCTAACCAAATGATGAGCAGCATGGGAAGCGGAATGAATATGTTTAATCCTGGTTCACAATCTAGTGGACAGACTTCGTCTCAGTCATCAGGCACTATGGCAACGTTTGATGCTACAAAACTGAACAGCCAGTTAAGCAGCTCTTCTGGATCCCAGACCAGTGGGATGGGAGGCGGATTTAATCCAAATCAGATGATGGGTAGTGGAACATCCACACAACAATCTAGCTCTAGCGGAACTCAGTCTGGAAGTAGCGGTGGAACAAGCAGTTCAGGAACCGGAACTTCAGCATTTGGTGGTAATTTTAATCCAAACCAACAAGGTGGAGCTCAGTTCAACAATCAGCTAAGTAGCTCTACTGGATCCCAGACCAGTGGAATGGGTGGCGGATTTAACCCAAATCAAATGATGGGTGGTGGAGGAAGTGGAACATCGGGGGGAACTCAGTCTGGAAGTAGCAGTGGAACAAGCAGTTCAGGAACCGGAGCTTCAGCATTTGGTGGTAATTTTAATCCAAATCAGCAAGGTGGTTCTCAGTTCACAAACCCTATGTCACAAATGGGAGGAGGGCAGGGAGGAGCATCATCATCACTTATTCCAAATTATAATCCTAATAACGCTGCAGTAAATATGGCAGGTGGGTATGATCCAAATGCAGCCAACTCCGGACAGGGGACAGGAGGCAACGCCCCAACTTTCACCAACGGAATGGGCATGAACGCTCAGCAGCAGTCGATGGGGGGAGGTTCGATGCCAAGTGGGAATGGCATGACACAGCAATCGGGAGGTGGAGGCACCATGGCACAAAGTGGTACAAGTAGTGGTGGCGCCTCATCTTTTGGAAGTTCAACTGGCTCAGGAAGCAGTACCACTGGAAGCAATTCACCTGGAAGTGGAAGTGCGTCCTCCTTTGGAAGTTCATCCGGAACTGGATCAGGCACTTCTTTAAGCAGTAGTGCTTCTTCATTTGGAAGTCCAAGTGCATCAGGGAGTAGTTCCCAAGGAGGAGCAAATTCTTTTGGAAGTCCTACAAACACACAATCCGGGTCTTCAAGCGGAGGCAGCAGTTCAGGTGCTTCGGCATTTGGAACTCCGATGTCCGGGAGTAGCTCTGGCAGCGGGACATCACAAAGTTCCAGTGGGAGTTCGACAGCCGGATCTTTTGATCCTATTAAAACTAATGTCGAAACAACTCAGTCTGGATTCAATCCCTTAAGCCCAGTTTTAGGTGTGTTGGAAATATCGATTCTCTCACCTTTGTTTATAGAACAGTTATTAAATTAAAAAAAAATCTTGGATATTTCGAAATACATTGAACATTTCTATATTTTTGACCGTATTAGTGTGTAATTTGTTGGAATAGAGATACCTTGTAAATCCTCTCTTCTCCAACTATTTGTAATTATCGATGTTCCATTCAGTCTGAAAAATGTAAAACTTCTTTTTTACAGGAAAGGTACAAAACTTTATGGGACCCCAGGCCGGTTGTATGTATACAGTTTATCTGTATGTGTTCTTACAATAATCACATCATCTTTTGATTTCTGTGTGGATACATATATCATGATTTTGCTATGTTTTAGCAACTGGTGGCACGTTTGATCCCGGTGCAGTTAACACACAAATGGCAGTACAAGGTGCTAGTTTGAACATGTTTGGGGGTAAGTACGTAAGATCCATATACTTTTGAACACTACAAACGAAACAAAAATATTGTCTCTGAATGTATAGTATGACATCTAACATCAGGCGCTGGAGGTGGTGACGCAAATAAAATGGATGCTAATTCATTAATGGGTGGAGCTCCTGGAATGATGGGAGGGGCAAGTCAGGTCAACGGTGGGTCTAGTAGTGGTGGCGGTGGTGGTGCAAACATATTTAATCCGATGGGATCAATGATGAGTGGATCATCTGGTGGCGCTGGAGGAACATCTGGTCCAATGAATATGATGAATACAATGGTATCATCTGCAACAGGACGAACAGTCAATTCGGGTGACATAAAATTTTCATCATGCAAAAAAAAAAAAAAAAAACAAAACACAACAAAATAAAAACCAACAAAATAAAACGACATGAAATATTTACATGTATATCTTGACCACGTGTTTCACTTAACAGGTGGTAGCTCTGGGTCCGCTTCTAATCCCATGATGCCTGGTGGACTTCCACCAGGCGGAAATCCCCTGGATCCAATGGGGGCAATGTCTGGTAATGTGACTTGAATTCTCAAATCTTCTCATAGAAATTAGAATCGATGCTTTTGCTTTATTTCCATTGTATCATTAACCTAAAAAAAAATAACCTGCTTTGCATTGTGTTTCAAACGGTCTGTGTTATCAAGTATTGGGTGTAAAGAAATGACTCGTTACATGCATCAATATATAAAAAAAATTCATTCATCGCAACCTGAAGCTATGGAAAACTAAAGGGTTCAGTATCAAAAATTAAAATGCATTATCACAGTTTGCTTAATATAAAATCCAACAAACTTCAAACTTAAGGAATTAGAGAGTTGGAATTTCGAATCTTTGGCTTTCCAGAGAAAATGCTTTAAAAAAAACTTTGTAACTTATATCGCTTCATTGGAGTTATTCTGAAGATTATTAAAAGCAGGCAAAGATATGCTGGCATTTGCAGTGTGCTTATCAAAGTTCAATCATCAGCTTTTTATCCAAGTTTACTTTGATGCTATTAGGTGGCGGGGCCATTTCTAAGTTTTCTGGAGGTACCAATCTCGTGGATCCGAAAGGATTTATGAATGGTAATATTATTGTTCTTTCTTTATCATCTAGAGAGGTGCATGTGTCGTTTTATTTGAGTGAATTTAGTCATATCTATTGAGTGGAAAAAGTACATCCGTTTTATCGTTGTTTTTAAGGTGTTTAAAAAAATACAGATTGATGTCATTGGTTATCGTAGCCCAGAAGTTTTTTTTTTTTTTGAGTAACCATGGAATTTAAAGGAAAACAACCCGAAATCTGTACACTAAAATGATTTTTTTAATAATGAATACAATCTTCTACCCGCAGATGGACAGAAATCTCTTGGTAGGGGTCATTTCTCTATATCCCTAGAAATGCCAGCACAGTGGAAGAATACTTTTTACTATGTCATACTGGAGCTTTTTATTATTACAGTTTATCCCTGTGTTTGAGACAAGGGAGTGCTCGGGGGGACACAAAATATTTTTAATTAGAGAAAACTGATTAATATGGTAATAAGTAACCTACTAACCTTTATGACTTTTTCTGTACAGGAGGAGGATTAACCGGGACCCAGTCAAATCAGTTCTCGATGCTAGGTAAGTTTTTTCCTTTATTTATTAATTTTAATTTTTTTATTCCTTTTAAATTTTGTTCGAAAATGCAATTGTTTTCATTTTTAATTTTTCCGTAGGAAAACGTGCATTTAAGGACATTGGCAAGTCAGGGTTTTCCGGAGAAAAAAGGTTTAATACATGGGTTTTTTCACTTGTAAAATAGTGATTGAGAGTGATCTCCCGTGTAGAATTCTCTAAGCGGTGAAAACCAATAAAGCGTATGTTATAGAGGTAAACAAAAGCACGTGTACTTCCTTCAACGGGTAGAATCATCTATACAGCAAGAAAGAAAAGTAGTAATGGCTTTGTTGTACATTGTATTCAGGGACAAAGAGCAAAAAGGTCGTCATTTACCATAGTTATGCTCAGTATGCTGGGAAGGGCAAAGATGTGACATATGCTGACAGGTAGGTCGACCATGCCGACTGAGAACAGTTCTTAGGTCGTGTGAAGGAATCAGCATTTAGTAATTACGAATAAAAGTTAAAGATAAATCCATGCCAATATTTTTATGACAATGTGTTTCAATCAATTCAGTCAATTACATGATAAAAACAATCAACCAGTCTCTTGACCAATTTTAGCTGTTAAGGGACGCAACTCAAAAATGATGATCGGTGCCGGGATATCCATGTCTTGTATCTACATATACATTTTCAACCAAAATATCTAGAAGTCATAGGAAATGAAGTTACAATAATGTCTATAATACAAAAACTGTATGAAATAAATGTGTTTTAAAGAAATATTATGGTGAAAAATTATGTAGGTCCCTTTTATCAACATTTTACATAGGAAATGCACTAAGAATTGTAAAAACACTAATTTGACAAAATCTAAAAAAGAATGCTGGATTGGTAGGTAAAACGATCCAGAATATAGCCTATTTAGTACATTTAAACCTACTCGAAAGTTCTTGAAAAATTCTATACAATAACCAGGAACCTTGCCAATGTCCTTAAAGGTAATTTTACCGCTTTTTTCCTTGGGTGGATGGGAAGCAAATTGAAGAGATTTGAAATATATTTTATGATATTCCCCTAAAACACATCTATTCTGAGCAGAAATGCAAGATTTATTAAGATCAAAAATTTTCACCATGCATGACCTGATACTAAATTTTGAAAAAAAAAAAAAAAAAAAAAAAAAAAACAATGCGATGCATAAGTGCACTTTCATTTGATCGATACTATTTCTGTCCAAACTGAATGAGTTATTTTAATTTTTCAAGGTGTGGTCAAGGTAAGCGGTTTTTTTAAAATCAAAATTAAATTTGAAAACATGTACTTGACAAGTTCTCTCTTTTATACAGTTTCAACCATACTTATAACAAAATGTTCTGCTTTTCAGAGAGCAGAAGACAAATACGTTGACTTATTCCTTTCACTGTTGGATGTTCTTGAGAATATGTCTAAATAAATTGTCTTTTTTATATATACATAATAAAGTTCTAGCTTATTTACATTAGCTTTATGTCTTGTTTCAAACGCATGATTTTTGAGACACATAGCACGACTTCAGTACCATATATACTTGTTACATAGCTAGCATGCATACATGGTAAAGAATATTAAAGTTATCTTTCAAAGTATATTGTAAATATAACAGTGATGGCATTAATTTCCTTTCTGTATCCAAACTGAAAATATTTCAAGGGTCATAATTCATTTAAATATGGGCCATATAAGTCAAGATCTGTAATCAATCAACTACAACCAAAAACTAAAACTGCAGTTAAATATCTGAAGACATAATAACAAAAGACAAGCACCTGACGCTCTAAATATTTCTAAGCAAATATGAAATTTTTACCCCATCTAATAAATCATTTATTAGGTGGGTGTGTAATTTATATTTATGCTTAGAAATATTTAGAGCGTCAACTGCCTGTGAAAAAAAAAGAAAAGAAAACGTACACCTGTACCTGCACGATGTTCCTGAAAATGTCCAAACAATTATGTTAAAAGGAGCCACAAGATGAGACTCGGTATCAAATAACCATTCCAATATACATGAAAGTTTTGAAATTCTAGATCCGAAGATTTGTGAAAAGTGAGTCATAGCTCTCTAAATTAAAGATTCATCAGAAATTTTTCAATATGTACAATGTTAGAGGAATATTTAGTTGGGAAGGGGAAATGGGATGTGGATCAAGCCATACTAAAAAAAAGGAACCAGAACTAACAGACCCCTTTCCCAATCCACCCAGTCAATTCATGATTGAATCCCAAGAAGGGGGTTTCAATGGATTGTATATAAACTATATTTCTTATCCCCCCGCGCTTTTACGGAAGCAAGAGGACATTAAATCTCATTCATCTGTCAGTCTGTCTGTCACAAAAACATTAACCTTGGTCATAACTTTTGAATGAGTATAGTCGGGGTTTTCTAAGCTTAAGGCAAGGCCCCTGGAAACGAAATAAGCTTTTTATGGGTAACTTCGAGCGCAAAACTTCTTGACGCTCTATGTCTTGTGTTTTTTGAAGAGAAGTATATTTCACAAAATGTATACCAACATTTGTACATACTACTAGAAAAAGTGGGACCCCGAAGCCTTTTCTGCTTTTGACGATAGAAAGGTAAATTAAAGACAAGTGTAACTAGCGCAATTTTTTTGAAATTGTCAAATTACTCTAATGACCTTATACATGTATTTTTTGAACTTATGGTTCAATGTAGAAGTGTAAAATCATTTGTAGACGACTTAGTTCTTGGTCGGGGTGTCGTACCTAGTAGAGCAGCCACCACACTGCAATCTGGGTAGAAGCGCGTAAATTGTTTTCTAGAAGGGTAAGGCCAAACAAAAAAATATGTGTGGTTCCGGTTACACTTCCATAAAAATTCGGGTAGGTAGGTAGGGATTTTTTTTTTTTTTTTAACAAAATGATTTTCTTAATTTTTCTAAATAATACCTATCACTGCTTTGCAAATTGCATTTAGATGTGATGTGATAATATACTAGTCAATATTGGTAGGGGACACCTACATGCTAGCTTGCTTTGGACTTAATACTATTAAACACTTGCACTATGTTTTGTAAGGAGGTCGTCATTGCTGAAACTAAAACTTAAACCGAAGCCATTGATGGAAATCGGGGAAAATTCCGGAAAAAATATGAAAATTGCCAAAAAAAAGTTTAGGGTCGGGGGTATAAAATAGGGAAGGTCGGGTAACCGGAACCACACATATTTTTTTATTTGGCCTAAAACATTTGCACCCATGGGTAAAATACATCTTTGTGTCGACCAGACTGATGACGGTCGAACACAGAACATGAGATTAGGTTAGTGACCTGATAGAGGGACAGGTGAAAGATATCCCGTATACACTAGCTGTTAACGGGAAAAAAACACGTCATGTAAATGATACGTTGCCTGTTACATAATTTAACGATAAAATTACTGTCTTTTCTTTAATTTCAATCTAAAGTACCATGGTGGTTAAATTAATGTTAATTGGACTAATTTGCTTAGAGGTTTCGGGAGGTAAGTACAAAGATGTATTTACTTGTGGAATATTTGTCATTCAGTTTTTTTTCCTAACCTTTATTAAATACTTTAAAGGAATCATGGTAAATGACTATAAGCCATGTACCATCATTTACGTTCTTTCTCTATCGGTTCATCTGAACTTTTCTAAATAAAGTTTGTCAATTTTGCAACTTTAAACATTTTTCTAAGGATTCAAGTTTGTTTAAATTCCAGCCTGGGACCATGCCTTGGTACCAAATTATATGAATTACACAACAGTACATCAATCTCTGCTCGTTCCACTCATGAGTTGAGAATGACTGGCATACAATGAATGTAATTGTGATCAAGAAAAACTTTAGTTTCTATTAATTCATTTGTATTGAAGGTATATTTTTTTCAAATACACTAACACACATGATCACAAAGCGTGATTACAGATCTTTGAGTCGAATTGCATAGAAAAATAATTACAGTTTTTCATGGGAATAGCAAAATTTAAATTTGTCAAATGTATACCCAAGTAATGGCAAATATTCTGTAGTGTGAACTCAATTTTGTTCAAACTATCGTCTCATTTTACCTAGGACAGTAAGACCACAAGAGATTTGAAAATATATTTTAAAAAATATAAATGAAAAAATGGTTTAAAAAAAATCTTGTTTTCTCGATATTCGTATCATTAAGTACACTGCATGATAAAGCAGAATGTCTATGTATCAGGTGGGGTATTGGAACATTGTCTAACTTTTATAATACTTTTTTATAAATTAATTTCAATTACCCAAACAGAGCTGTCTATGACCTATAATCCCGCCTTTTACAAGGACCTGAATATACCAGATTATAACCCAAATAGCGTTCCCTTTGTCAACTACAATCCAATGAAAGAACAAAAGCCGATACCATTCTCCGAGTTTCAGCCAATCACAACATCTGTTCCAGAGGCTCCTAAAATGAAAGTGTTCAGTAACTCTGGAAGTGCTGGCATCAAGTTCGACCCTAAAATGGTAACACCTTCACCATTTGATTTAAGTGGAGTGAAGTTTAATCCAAACGACCGAAATTTTTTAAGAGGTTTCAATCCCAACTCTTTTGCAAACAAAGGTAAAAAAATTCTTGCATTTTGGGGGACTTTTTTGACACCCTGGTATTTAGTTAAAAGCAACAATCAACCTTTGTTTTTTTTTTTGGTTGCAGTGCAACCATTTCAGGTACAACAGGTAACAGCATCAACGGCCGGACGTGACTGGGACGGTGGATGGCCAGGTTTGTTGGTTATGCAACATGACATTAACAAAGACGTTGTTTCAGTTAATAAATGTAATTGTGACACAGATACTGAGTTATAAAGACGGATATCTTTTAATGCAATATGAACTCAGGGGCCTCATGAACTGTCAAACTTCTCTGTTTCACTCTTAAAACTGAAGTATGAAAAATCTACAAATTTAATAAATACGGGAAATGAAAGGTCCTTCAAGATATCCACAAAATCCCCATCTGCATACTGAATTGTGTTAAGGATACATTCTGGAATAGTATCTAAAGCTGCTGGCATCAAGCTAGTGCTCCAATGTTGTATACGGTAAATGTTGCAGGTGATGAAAGTGGTGGAGTAGTTAAAACAAATGAGAAAGTGGAATCGGGAATAAAGTATATTGGAAACAACGGGAAAAACAGTATCTTCAGTAGTTCCGGAAAATCCTGGGATGGAAGCTGGCCAGAGGGTAGTTAAAAACTTGCAACAATTCACATCAAAACATAATACATACATGTACAATCCTATGTCCGCATACGACTATACATGTAGTTATACATATACTTCTCATTACAAACAAGCACAAACATTATTACAAGTTTTAAAAATTGCAGGGGATGTTAAAGAGTTCTCCTCAAAAGCCACGGAATCATGGAATTCAGCGGTAGGCGCCAAACAAGACAATAAAAACTGGAAAGGTAAACAACACCCCACGTACTTCAGAGATCAAACAAATGCTCGACTTTTATACTAGTCTCATATTCTATTTTATTCTAGACAATTCAGGAGATTTCTCGAATAAAGCTACAGATTCATGGAACAAAGCACTGAATCGGGGTAAAAATCAAGGTAAATCATGTTTATTTGCTGTAAAACGTAATATTGAAACTTCCGAATTCCTGTTCAATACACACCGACCAGGTTGGTGGACAAATCAGCTTGATTGTTCCTGGAAATGTTTTTAAATTTTTTTTTTTCAAGTTGCAATTTTATGTAATGAATGTGCATCAGTATGCTAAATATTCTTTTAGTGGTTAAAGATATTGAATAGATACTTTCACATAAGATGCATGACTTTGTTTGGGTTCCATCTTCGCCACCATTAGCCACGATTTCATTTGGGAAAGAAAGCCAGACTTTTTAAGAATGAAAGGAGGCTTTCCAAATAAAAGACCTTTTTGTCAGAGGAAAAAAAAAGATTATATATAACAGATGCAACTATTAAACAGAAATACCAAACCACTGCTCATTGTTATGCAATTGCATATTCATGATTCCAGTGAGAAACATAAATTTTCATTTTCAGGCACCAAAAATGGACAGGAAGAAGTGGACGAGATCATTCAGAGATTAATAGCAGTTTTAGAAAAGTTGCGGTCATAAAGTGATAAAAATCACAGTGTACAATAACAGAATGATCACACAATACTTCTATAAATAATATTAACAGTACAGTAATTTTGTATATCGAATGATTTTTATTTTCATGTTCAAAAGCATTCGTTTCTGATGTACATGAGACCAATGTCTAATGAGTATTTACAATGCAAAATTAAAAGGATTTCACTTACTGCATTCATTCAGATAATTTCATAAACAGTCATAACTTCACTCCTTATATTTCTCATTAACATGGAAACACATTTATCATTTTATCACACATTTGAATCTCATGTATGCAGATACACATACAATACAAAACTAATATTCATAAAATTACACCCTGATTTCATCTTGCATGATTCTTGATGGTCTGTCTGTTAATGTTGACGTGTACATAATCAGTACCACAACCATGATATAGAACCTGGATTGTCTTGATGGAATGGAAGCAGAACAGAATTGGGAGGACTGGGATCATACAGCACTGTGTTGGTTGTGCTGGGTCAATCACACACTAATACATACATACTGTCCCTCTTTGGCACTTATCATTCACCAACTCACAGTAAAACAGTCTAATCACACAATCATCATTTGACTAGTCCTAGTTTTTTGGCTTCTGTTTCATACACTAATAATCTCCACATTTTCACCACGAACACTTCCGCTTCCTCATCCAACACCTACATGTACAAAGATACAAACTTTATCAATGAACAACGTCTGGAACATTCACAGCAACATTGGTTGTTAATAACTGAATTATTATATTTTTTTCTCATGAAAAATTGACGATACATACCATTGCTACATCATTGAGTATTGCTTGAGGTCCACTTCTAGCCATCACTTTCTGACATATAAATTCTGTCAGTGTTGGTTCTTCCTCACCAATGTACTCAATGATCTTTTTGTTAACCCAAGGTTTAATCCTTTTATCCATAAGGACCTGAAAATCATTATTGAAATTAAAAGTATGTTGTAATCATTGTGTAAATAAATGTCTTCATAAAATTATTCCAGGTTTTATCTACAAAACTTCATTTTCTTACTTGATCCACTATATTCCAGTCCAGAGGATAAGCAAACAATTCATCTTTAGCTGTGGGAATGCTCTCTATGAGTTGTTTTATTTTCACTCGTTTCTCCTCTGCAGTGGCTCCCCCTTTCTTCCCTTCCTTATCGTCATCGTAATCCAGAGGTACAAGTTTACGTTTTTTGGCACCTGATGAACTATCTTCATCATCCTGGTTGAACACATCCCCTACTGTCAGTTTCTTCCTCTTGTTGGATATGCTTTCAGTTGGACTACTACTACTACCTGTGAATTATTTATATACATCTAAATGCTGTGTAAATATCTAAAAACAATTGCATTTCCAAAGTACCATCCTACATCAATACCTAACGCGTACAAAAAGCTTTTCATTACTTTATCAGTTCGACCTTCTCCTCTTTACTAGATATTATAGAAAACTGAATCCCTACCTAACTTCAGCCCACCAAATCCTAACTTAGCATTTTCCTCCTTGGTTGGGCCATACACAGGTTGCGAGTCCTCATCAGGGGGTGGGAAATTGCTGTCATTATCCTCAGACATAGGTGTGACACTGTTTGATACGTCAATGGGTTTCAGTGTGGACTTCATATTGGGGGGTAATTGTGGCTTTTCCTCTTCCTCCTCATCAGCTTCATCTGACGAGTCTACAGGGATTGGCTCTTTCTGGCTGACAGGGGACTTTTCTTCAGATATATTCAGACGAGGCTTCAGATGCTCTTCCCTCTCCAGTTCAATCTGAAATTACATGTACACTGTCAAAATATTCTAGATTTTTAGAATTTTTTAATCAGAAAACTTTAATTTAAACATGTATATTCATTTTTACACTGCAAACTAGATGTGTCAGCATGACATGTTCCCCATTTTTTACATGAACAAATTGAACTCAGTTTAAAATCTTTTAAAGGTCATTATCAACAGCTTTTAAATGTTGCAACATAAAAGAGCTACTAACCTTCATTAATTCAGCTTCTGGGTCTGGGTGTCCCTCATCCAGTAACTTTCGTTTGATCTCTTCGAGTTCCTCCTTTTCTCTCTGTCTATCTCGTGCATCTGCCTCTCTCTCCTTCTCCCTTTCTTTTAGTCTCCTGTTTAGACAGCTGCCTCTGTATAGATTTATAAATAATTGATAACCACTTACTTATAGCTTAATTTCATCAAAGTTTTCCACAAATACTGCTACTATGTACTACATTTATTTCACCAGTTGGTAAATCTTACTTGTAATATTTCACATCATCCCTTTCATCATCATAATCTTCAAGGAATTCTTTCAACCTTCGTGCCTCTCTCGCCTGAAATAATGCACATAGTGAAAAACAAGCTGAAACACTCTTTGGGATAAGTTGAGATACACAACATAAAGGAAACTCTTCAGATATATGTCTGACTAACCTCCTCTGCCTTCCTTTCCTCCTCTCTTTCCCTTTCTTTCTCATACTCCCGTGCTTTCTTTCTTTCTCTGGCTTCCCAATTCTTCAGTCTCTGTTAATAAAGAAAAATGTTAAATGCATTGCACCAAAGGAAAAATTTAACAGAACTTTGGTATACAAAACCTTGAAATATCAAATGTCAGGAAAAGTTTAGAATCGATAGTGTGTGCTGACTTTATTATGATTTCAGCTTACACTTAAATCTTTTATATACACTCTACTTGAGTTCAACTGCCAACATAGTCCTGATTTCTACCTCTTGATATGCTGCTTCCTTTTCACGTAGTTTCTTCTCCAGTTTCCTCCTTTCATATGCCTCCTCTTCATCCTCAGCATCCCTGTCACGTTCCTTCCTCCTTTCCCTAAGAAAACAATTTAACATGAACTAATTACCAAGCAACAACATTTCAACACTTTCTTTTAATATATCAGATTTTTTTTTTAGTGATTACTACTTTTTTATTCATATACTTACTTTTCTCTTGATCTTGACCTCTCCCTCCACCTCTTTGGAGATCGTGACCTTGACCTTGTCCTACTTCTGATGCGTTCTCTTTCCCTTTCTCTTTCATAACGTTCCTTTTCCAGTTCTCTTTCCCGCTCCCTCTCTCTCTCCTTCATTCTTTCCCTCTCGCGTCTTCGCCTTTCCTCTGCAAGTCTGATTCTTTCTTCCCTTTCTTTGTCCTTCTCAGCATCTTTTTCTGCTTCATCCTCTCCCTTCAAAAGAACAACATACAAGTTAATTACATGTATCAGAACACAAATGGAAAACTAACTTAAATATGGTAAAACCCTCTTCCAGACAAATATTTCTCTAAAAACTTTTGTTTCTACAGATGAAACAGTGCTGTTCAATAAAAATATTTTTTCGTACAATATATTTTTTTCAGCTTCATCATCAACATATAATTTTCATACATCATAAAAATGTAATGTGGCCAAAAAAAAAGAAGATATTTCTTTTGCTAATTACCTTGAAAAGCACACAGACTAGATAACTAGTGCCTTGTCAGGATTTCTTTTAAAAATATGCTCATGCACAATGTTGTAAAATGATTGCTGATGTTAAGGTGTAACAGCCAACCAATTCACAACACGCATTCTCCAAAATCACTATGAACAAAGTCAAGCTACGTTTTCACATGACTACTTCTCTGATTGGAGATCCTCCTCAGCCAAAATGGACTACTGTTAATCCTAATCCTTGTGAGAGCAATTCTGGCATGTAATTAATGAATCCTTAAGATAACACTGATGCTGCTGGCAACAAAAAGGTTTTATTGCATTAAACCCTAGTCATCCATTTACAGTTTTACCCATGGGTATTTTCTATTGAGAGTCCAAAACTCAATCAAATCACCCTTGATAACTTTGCTTTTGCTTCATACAAAAAAGAAAAATAAATCAAACAAACAACTTATTTATACTGGGTGAAATACTTAATCATATTAATTTTACACCCTGATATGGAGTTCAAATTGAATTGCAGGATAATAATAAACCTCCCTACTTGTTAATGAGTTACAATACTTTATGCTTGAAGGTACAGTACACTTATTCAACTGAAAGTGATGTAAAATGAAAACCTTATATTTCAGATTATCAAATACTACCCATTAATCACATACAGTGTATATAAACAGAGCAAAATCAAATTTCACTTCAAGTAAAAATCAGCATGCGTATAAAGCATGCTTAACTTTGAACTGGAAAGACACTGAATAAGGGAGGGGAATGAGAATGAAATTAAGCCCTTCTTATACATCTGTCCTCATAAAAACACTCTGAGAGCAGATGTTACAGTTTTTCTTTTGTGCAACTTACATATGTCGTATTTCATCATATACATGTCACCATAAAAAAGCTTTCTCCTGTGGGGTGAAAAATCTACAAGAAAGCTCACAAGCAACCTGCTCTAGACCTGCTGAGCAGAATTAGGGGATTCAAGTCTGTATTCCTTTGAGACAAAATAATTAATTCACAAGCAATAACAAAAGTACACATACAGTAAATCTATATCACTAACCTTTAGTCTGTGTCTCGGTTATTAATGAAAGAACTGACAAAAAGTAAATTAGGGTCACTTACTTGAGAAAATCTGCTGTAGACATGTACCTTATTTCTATCCGTTTTTCAAAATATGTTCCCCTTGTTCCTAGTTATAACCCACCTTCTTACTGCATGCGAGAACTTCTAGCAATCAGGGGCACTGTTAGTATTATAGACTTATACTTTATAAAACATCTTCCCATCCCTTTTAGCCATGTTTTCTAAGTTTTTCTTTAAAGCCCATAATCTCACCCCCCCCCCCCCCCAAAAAAAAAAACATTGCAAAGCCTTCATCTGAAACTGTTATTTAAGTTCATCATCCATTTTCTTTTTCAGTACTTCATTTTCCTTCAACTATCTTACCAAAAGGCCTCTTCTTTCTTCTACATGATGGAAAGGTAGCATATTTATAGAAATATTTGGTAAACACTTACCAGAGAGTCTTTCATATATAATTATACAGGTTGATCAGGACCGTAACAGATGCTTGGCACGAGCATCAGGGCTCATCTATTAAGTGGGGGGTAATGAAATATAACCCATGTTATTTAAAGGTGACAGAAAAAATTTCAGTTCAAAACTTACAGAAGGTTTAATTTATATATTTTTTTTTAAAAAATATCAAAAGCAAATTTATATCAATCAGTGAATTAAAATGTATTTTTAATGGTACAAATGTATGTTTTTTTTTCCTGTCAGTTTCAGCCTATACTAGTAGAATGACAAAATGAATTTAAATGAATGAATGCCAAGTTATTTTTTGTGTCCTTTGTAAACTACATGTAATTATCTGTAACAAATGGTTCTGAATTAACTTTTTTGATAATGGGGTTTCAAAAATTTTAATAATATGGTCAAATTAAAAGGTAAATCTTGTTATCTATTAAAAAAAATTGTGCTAAATAAACCTTTAATTAATGTATATTTAAATAATGTGTGTGGTAACTGCATTTGGTGTTCAAAAAGCCACAACTTAACTGATAACTTCAAGGCCAGTTACTGGATTATTCTATTGACAAGAAAGTTAAGCAACCTTTAAAGAAACCCTTAACAAAAGGTCAAAAGGCATTTTAACAGCATATACCAAGCTATGAGAGAAATACTTACTTTATGAAGATCTCTGAAGCTCTTGATTTCTCTATGAATTATCTCCCTTTTGTCATCTTCAATATCAATGTCATCTATTCCCTAAAAAAAAAAGTTCAATTTCAAATATTATACTATTGAAATTACATTTGAAATTTTTCAAAATGGTTTTTATCTCAAAGTCTATTCATATTCTAAACACCATTCTAATGCTTTTATAGAAGAAAAAAAATCATACAAATAAATTTATTTAACTTCATATTTATCTTGAATCAGCTTTAACAACATCTTTGTATTGCTGCTTTAAATAAATACTTCTTACTGTGTCTCTCAAAATCTTTTCACTACTTACTGTGTCTTTTAATAGTCTTTTCACTACTTACCATGTCTTATAATTGTCTTTTTGCTACTTACTGGATTTATCATAATCTTTTCGATACTTACTGTATCTTTTATAATCTTTTCTTCCTCAACTTTCTTTTTGACTGGCTTTGCCTCCTTTTCAACATCTACAAAAAGACAAAAACATAAAAATAACATCATCAGTAGTAACATCCCTCTCACAAATTCAGTCATACTAAAGATCAAACAGAATAAAAATATGTATAACATGCTTGACTTTTTAAAATTTAGGCTAATGAAGATCTTGTGAAAAGTTTACCTGGAAACACCTTCTTTGTAAGATCTCCAGCATACTCTCTCATAATGGCATCCAGACCGGCCTTTGCCACACGATCCTCTCTCTTGGTAAATTCATCTAAGTCTTCCTCTACTTTAGAATCACTTTCTTTTTCTCCATTCTCTTTCTTTTCTTTGTCATCTCCCTCTGCTTCACTTGTTCTGGATTTCTTTTTAGATATGTATTCATCCAAGAGTGTCTTTGTTTTAGCATCTACTTTCACCTACAAATACATATAAAAATATATACATGTATTCTCTAGCACAAGTGGAAACCCTCACAATTATTTTAAGCTACTTTTAACTCTTCCATCATTTTTTTTTTCAATAGAATGAATAGGTTTTTTTGCCCTAATGAAGACTTGCTTACCCACTGCATATCATGTTTATTGGTGTTTTATTGTTGTTGAGACACTTTAACTAGATCTATGATACTTACCACTAATTTCTTGTCTGCTATTTCCCATTCATTTAAAAGTCTCATACAACGTAGAGTGGCTTCTGGATCTTCATATTCACAAAACCCAAATGCTGGAATAGAAGTAACACAAACTATAGATGGCATAGATGCAATACTCATGAATATGCTTTCAAAATAAAATTCTATTATATTAGGAAATAAATATTTCTGACCATAAATATTTGACTTCACAACTCCTTGTCTTAATAAGAGTCAAGTACTAATCAACAAGAAAATCCATGACATATATTATAATTTGATCAAGCAAGAATAATGCACACCAACCTTGTAATTTTCCTGAAGCACCTTGTACACGTTTCCAACTGAGTACATTTCCGCATCTCTAAAATGAAAATAAAATGACTAAATGTAACGAAATCAACTTTGAAGTACAATCCAGTCTAAGCTACTAGCTCTATATTGACTATGAATGTAAAATTGAATTTTTGGCAGAAGCAGATTATCCCTTTTCTATGAGTATTTTCTTCCCATGAAACGAAAAAAATCACCTGCAACATCTGTCGAATCATAGCATCAGGTGCTCTGTCACTGATGTTACCAACAAATACTGTTGTAACAGGAGGTTTTTCTTCTTTCTCATCCTACAATCATAGTAATGCATAAAATTTCAAATAGGGCTGCGACGATTCAGGTACTTCACCATTCAATTTTCAATTCTTTGGCAACAGTTCATTTTGATTCAATTCAATAGGTAACAAAAACTCTGATAATACAATAATGAAATGTAACTTGTATTTTATTTTCATTTTGTTTAAGCTTTATAACATGTAGAACCTGTTGCAGAGATTACTATGTTTCTGCTTCCTGACTATCAGGTTGGTAGTATTTCCTGACAATTAAGCTCTGTAAAACATACACATATCACAGCATTTCTGTTTTCTTTCAGGCTAATATGTTTCCACAACACAGGCCTAAGGTTTGTTGGTGGGTTTTTATAATTGGCATCCACCATTTTTGCTATTATAAAATTGTGAAGAAAACCCAAAATGCTTTGATAATTTTGATTCCAGAAAAAATGTAAACATGAACAGAATCATGATTTGAAGAAGTTAAATGAAAAATTGAATCAAGAGGTATGCATCACAATTCGAGTGCACCGTCAGGGGTTGAAATATATGGTAGCCCGACGCCCGGGGCTAGTCATTTTAAGACTCGGGCTAGCTAATTTAAATGTAATGATAGTCCATCGGACTAGCAGAACAGAAAAAAAATCTCGGCAGTTTACTTTTGGTTTTCTATGTAGACTGGTTTCTTTTGAATGAGAACTACATTGTAGTTTAATTTGTTTCTGTCACCACATCATTTGAAACTTTCATTTAACTTGTTATGTTTTCATTTTGCATAAAAAAAATTTGGGCTAGTTAGTTTGAGGTTTGGGCTAGTAATTTTTTACTGATCAGTAGCCCCTGGGCTAGTGGGTTTTCCAGGAAAATTTCAACCCCTGACCGTGATCAATCCATTCAGCCATAATAACCCACACAAATTGTATAAATATATTTTTTTAATGTCTGAAGAATAAATTAATTGTAATCTAGTCAATTCTTCAACAGTAAGAATATTTAAGCAAAGCCAATCATGGCTTTGCTGTTCTACAGAAGAAGATTTTCCCTATATATTCCTATGTAAAACTTTGATTGCCCATTGTAGATC